CTCTCTCTCTCTCTCTCTCTCTCTCTCTCTCTCTCTCTCTCTCTCTCTAAATATATTACTTTTTGTTTCCCTTATCCCTTATCCTTTGTCGACGATAATTTATCATTTTTAATAACTTTTTTCAATTTTGGATATACTTCTTTCATGAAAATTCTTGAAAGCTCAATTATTTGTTCAATTAGTGGAAAATTGATTTTTTATACTGGAAGATTAATGCATCGCTTGAAATTATCGAGTTACAAAGCGCTAATGATAAGACCAGCGTACAAAATTATCTCTGATAAAATTCAATTTCCCTCCAAAGAATCGAAAGGGTATCGTAATACAAGTTATTTGATATCGCGAAATCTGATAGATATTTGAATGCAAATACGTTTCGAGTGGAACGTGAACTGACGAAAAATTATCTTACTTATCCTCCCAGCACAATCCGTGTCGTCTGATTCAAGAATATGTCATATTCGAGAATATGATAATTATAAATAATAAATATGAATCCAAATCGATATTATTACAAAGATATATATTACACAAGCTGATTATACGTATCAAATTATTAAATAATAATGAATCGTCCGATATTTCTCAAGTTAACGATTGAAGTCTCTGTAGAAAATAAGAAATAAATTGTATTATGGAGGTCTTCCTATTCGTATACTCAGCATTATCGATGTCTCAACGTATAATACTTTTTGCTCGACTTACGTTACAATTGATTGTTTGTATTGTGTTTCAGGGCACGAGTAAAGTCTGGCGTGAAGATTCTAGATGCTTCGTCTAGCAGTCCAGATTGGATTGTCAATAGCGACGTCAACGCGAAGAATACCGCCGCCACGTTTACAGCGCGACGTAAGGAGACCTCGTCGCGTGTACTCAGCACGTAAGTACATCATACACCCTTTTGGAATGGTCCTGTCACGCGCAATCTGCCCTCGTTAAGTCAGCATACGTCGGCGAGCTTAGAAAGACTCTTACTGGAATTGTGGACATGAGGGCGGTTAATGTAATGAGCAATTTAAATCCCTCCGTTTCCGTTCGTTAAACCTGGAGTGCGAACGAATGAGAAGTCTCGCTGCAAACCGAATAGACTGAGGATTTTCAGGCAAGAAGGAATTTTTCGGGCAACGAGCCTTGAAAGACAAAAATCCGTTAAATTTTACTCTAACATCCAATTTTACTCTAACAAAAACTTGAACTTTTTTTATTTTCATTTACTAACTTTTTTTTATCGGAGCATCTCATTTTAACAAAGGCTGACATTCGATAATTGCAATTATGACGTTGTTTTTTTTTACTTAATTATAAAATTTATATTTTATAATATACGAAATTACGTATATATTTTTTTTTCATAAAAATCTTTGACCATTAATGAAAAATAGACAAACTTATTTATTTGAGTATGTTTATTGTGATTTAATGAATAATCATTTTATCTAATCACACAAGTAATAATATTCTCAATTACATCATTTAATGTAGTCTCCTTGTGCGTCAAGTGTTTTTAACGTAAAGAAAATATTGTACCATGATTAAAGCTCTCAAATTAGAAGCTGATTCGTCGGTAATGTCGTTTGACCCGGGATATCTGCTCTCACAGTAGTCGCCTTGGGCGTGCAATGACGTTTCTTTGTAATTCTCGACTTTTTCTTCTTCGTCGTCTTTTTCTTGTTACTCTTGGACCGAATCATTCGATTGTGCGGTTTGTCGGTCTGTTCTACAGTACGCTGCGGTTGACTGACATCTTCAACTTTATAAGCACGAATAAAGAAAGGGGCCTCATCATTCGTTTTTTCAAACGACGATTCGCTCACGGAATCTTTGGTTGATCGAACAAAACGATTCCTTGGTTTATTCCTTTCCATGGAGGACGATTTACTCTCTTCCGAAATATCAACGAACGCTCTGACAAATCGATTCCTCGGTTTGTTCTCTTCGGACGATGATTTACTCTTGGTCAAAGTATCTCCGATCGTTCTGACAAATCGATTCTTCAGTTTGTTCTTCAACACGGTTGAGTCGCTTTTGAAAATATCCTCAGTCTCTGAGATAAATCGCGACTTCAGCCTGCCTTTCTCTTTAGATGACGATCCGCTTTGCGCGTCAACCTTGACCCCTCTGATAAGTCGACTTTTCGGATTGTTCTTCTCTTCGGACGAGTTACTCGATGTATCTTGAACTGATCGGATAAATCGATCGTTCTGTTTATTTTTCTTCTCTTCGGACGATATACTTTCCGAGATATTCTCTTTGATATATCTTTTTGTTCGCTTTTTTTTATTTTCCTCCGAGGACGAGGAAGAGGAAGATGAAGACGAAGAATCATCGTCATCATCATCATCGTCATCATCATCGTCATCGTCATCACAGTTTTCATCATCGTCCTTCTTTGATTTCACACGTCGTTTCTTACTCCTCTTACAAACATTGTTATCATTATCACAGTTTTCGTCCTCATCGTCGTCACTATCATCCTTGTCAACCTTCTTTGATTTTACACGTCGTCTACCCTTTTTAGGTACGTCGTCGTCGTCATCGTCATCATCATCGTCACTGGAAGAACTACTGCTGCTGCTGCTGCTGCTGCTGTCATCGTCATCGTCATTATCATCCTTGTCTTTCTTGGCCTTCCTCTTGGTCGCGCGTCTCACGCGTTCAAATTCCCTCGCTTCTAGCTCCTGTTTCTCGTTTTCGAGAAACTTCCACTTGTCGTCAATGTACATATCTCGCTCCGTACGTTTATCATTCTTCTCTTCCTCGCTGGACGAGGAGCTCGAACTATCGGGCTTTTTTTCTTTTTCCTTTTCGACTCCATTGACGGTGACAATCGGTTCCTTCATCGTTGTTAACGCTTCATTCTGCTCCTGCGCACTCTGCTCCTGCGCGGGATACGCCCGGACGACATACGTGGCGGCGAGCCCCGCGAGAAGTGCCGCGAAAAAAAACAGCGTACTGCGACGCATAATCGATCATGCAACTCGGAAGGGAAATTTACACTCTCGATGGCGGCCTTACGATCGCCTTTTATACCGCGATTGCGAAAGACCGATAAAAAAAGGCGTCGAGTGAGAAGCGCCTCGCGCTGACGTAGCGAGCCGATGCGTGTTGAAATCGGCGAAAGAAGCGCGGAGAGAATGGGGGAGGTCGAAGGTGAGGAGGTGGGAAAATCTGAGCGGGCGAGGCGAGATCCTTGTTATCGCCGTTAACCCGGCGATGCTCCGCTTTGATTCCGCTTGGGGGGGTTCGACTTCGAACTCCGGCAGCTTCGCGCGCACTTTCAACGCGGCGCGAGATCGACGATTTGCTCCCGCTCGAGCCGCGGATCATCAATCGCGCGAGCGAAAGGTTAACGCCGCCCGGCCGGCACGCACGCAACGTGGATCAACGGCCGCGATAAAGAGGCGGACGGGACAAGAGAGGGAAGGGAGGGGGGCGACTTCGCCAGGGATTCCGCTTATCGAGATTCTACGCGGCGCGCGCTGATAGCAAACGCGACGGCATCGAGATCAGACGCGTGTGGTACCAGCTCCTCGACGTAGCTAGGCAAGTGGCTCGAGGCTGCAGAATAATTACTTTGAAGTAACGTCGCTGCCTTCATCTCAATAAGATAAGAATCTCGAGAAGGCGTAATGAGCGACTGACATCGCGAGTAAGACGCTTACCAAGAGTGTTCGATAAAAGGAAGAAAAAAAAAACTGTACCGAGAATTATGGATAGGGACGTCGAGAAGATCCAGGTCTCGACAGATATTTTTAATCCTTTACCGAACTTATTATCATCTTTAAAACCCGATAGCAATTTGCACATTATTACTCTTATCATCCTAGACTATAAAATACGTATATTTTAAATTTTTTTTTATTATACATTTTTTAAATCTACGAACAATGTATAATATTCTCTTATAATTTAATATTATTAATATGCTGAGTAGAATTGTTTTTAGACTTGGATAAAAAAGTAGAGATAAAATGTATTGTATAAAATATTTTCTTTAATCTTCCTTTTTTTTATTTAAGTATGAATGTAGAAATTTGATTAATAATTTGTATATCTCACAAATTCTATAAAATTCTATAAAATTAAGACATTAAAAAGAAACATTAGAAACATACAATTTCTGATTTAATCTAGAAATTCAAATTTTTAAAGTCAGTTTCTAAGACATTTAGCACCTAATAGAAACGCATTTTCACTTTCAAAAAATACAAATTTTTTTCAATGTTTTTATTTTACGCGCACGAAATTATACACGTGTATTCATTCAACAACAGCAAGTGCTTTGTTGACACTTAATGATGACGCGCTTAATTAAATTCGATAAATTTGTAAGTCTTAAGTCTAATTACATTTACATGGCTATGAATATTTAATTGCACTTTAATTCATAATTCTCGTGAAAACTGCTCATTTTACGGCAATTTTAATCCAACATCGCTCATTGCTCGTCGTAAAATATGAATGAGTCGGGGGATCGCGTGTAGCTGGGAACAAGAACAAGTAAAGATGTTTTGGAGAAACGCTTTTAGAGCGTGCATCGAGGAAAATATAAAATCCCTCGCGCGAGAGAACCGTTAAATTTTTATAATGATGTACAATTTTCTGTGTTTGCGATTTAACAGCCGGCTAACAGGCGAGTTTTCGTTCCTTTTAATTTCCACGTTCGTTCTCGCGAATTCACTTGGAAGGGAATGACATTAATCGTCGGAGGTATACTTACGCAAGTGAATGAACGAACATTTGTTCGAATCCTCTTTATCAAGTGTAATGCACAGCTTCTGCGAAGCATTCCCGCTCTCTTAAGCTTCCGAAGAATTTTCATTATCGTTTTATCGCCAACTTATAAATTTTTATTGCAATTTTATCATATAATTGTGAAATTTTTGTTCGCGAAAACTTTTTCTTTTTCTTTTGAAAAGTAATCTGCATTTTTTAATATTTGGTGTGGATGTTTCGAAGTTTACTATTATTTTCTTTTTTGTTTCAGATCTGCGGAAGAAATAATGACAATGTTGCTGGAGGCTAGCGAGGAGGGCATAGGAGGAAGCTGGGACGGCGGTAGGATCGTGTGGAGCGTGCGTTACGCGCTCGAGGGTGAGGAGGAGAATGGATCGCAGTTGACGGGCGTCGATCAGTTGCAACAGCGAATGCAGCAACGCCAGCTGCAGCACCATCATCATCATCATGTCGAGAAACGGAAACTGCAGGCGCGGCTAGAGATACAGAAGGATGATATACAGGCGGTGCTTCCGATCTCTAAGGTAATACCAGATTTTTTTTAGCGTCAATCTTAAGTTTATGCGCATAGAAACGGAAAATTAGAATGGAATACGAAACAACGATGCGAATATTTTATATCGCGGAAAGTCATTTTTAACTTACCAGTTTTATATCATGTCGATCAAAGGTTCAGATAAAGCAGCTAGATTTTTTTAGAAGAATTCTTAGGATCTCTTTCATGTCTAATGAATATTATTAATAATTTATGGACATGTATGCAAAATATTTCACTTCCCGTTTTTGTTATTTTTTAATGATTTTTTTATTTATTCAGAATTAATTTTTTTTAACGGAAATATCAATAATACCAATATTTTTCATATCACGAGTGATTAAAGAAGCAATTTACTTGAATTTTAAGGGAAACATTATGAATTGCATAACTTATATTCCTTAATTAGTTATAGATATAGATTAGATAGAATTATAATTTAATAGTCATGAAAACATAATGCGAGAAAAAGGATTTTACGCTTCTGACATCATAACTTATGACTGCAGTGGTAAAATTTTAAGACGACATTGTAAGAAAAATAATCGAAGATTGTTTTTAGATTTGGTCAGATTTCGATGTTCTTCTTTCAATTATGATTATTTTTATCGGGATATTCTTCGTTTTCCGTCTCTCGCAACTCATCCTTCGTACTTCGTCGGTGAAAATTCCTCGGAAAAGAGCTAACTCGAACGACGAGTGCGATCAATACGGTCGCGTATATCGATCACCTCGCCACGCGAGAATCTGTTTCCACTCGGTCGGCCAATCTACGATCCTCACGAGCATTGAGACAAGAGAGAAAAAGGAGGAAAAGTAAGAAAAAAGGAAAAAGCTCCATATATATATATATATATATATATATATATATAAGAGAGAGAGAGAGAGAGAGAGAGAGAGGGGAGAGAGAGGAGAGAGAAGATCGACAAAGGATAATGCTTTTCCCTCTTTGGTTCCCACGGCGAACACTCTGATGCTTTTCTCTCTCGGCTTTTCCGCGCCCGCCTCTTCACCATAGCGGCGATATTTCTAGCCATGGCAAAATTCCATCGATACCGCAGAGTCGATCGCCAGAGCTACACCTATTTTGATAACGGCAGTGACGCATCTGCCGTAACAACAGGTCGTAATGAAATTTTCGATTGCCGCATGTCGAGCGATAATCCCCGTGTTCCTTTACGAAATGAAATATGCACATAGGGTGTAACGTATTAATTTCTCGTATAAGAATTTCTTTATAAGAAAAATATCATGGTGGAATTATCTTTTGTTTTATTTTCGAGCGATGCGATAATAGAGAAATATTTTCTTTCAATAAGATAATTTGATAGATATAAATTAGTTGCTAATAAAATCTAGTCGAATTTTTTCGTAAAAAGAAACGATGGTAGAATAGGTATCTGTATTTACGTTCGATAGTGAAATGTAATTTTAGTAAATCACTTTTCAACAAGCCGCAACAACAAGTCCACAACAATTGGGACACAAGCCTCTTGGTATGTAAATTAGATCTGATGGTTCCACACTATCTATGACACGCTCGCAATTTCCAGTAACACGACGCAGCAGGTGCACCGTATATAACTCCGTGTATGAAAGTCAATATATGTGAAGTCACGTCGATGACCAGATACTCGATAGAATCTTAGATGAATTAATTGAGAGAGATATTACGCTCCGACTTGAATAATAACTGTTGAAGAACAAAAGCTTCTTATTAAAACGTTGTCTCGCAAAATTATATTCTTAGATAATTTTACAAATGGATTTCATTTCAATATAAAATTTCAATTTTTTTTTATATTTCTTCTACGAAAGACGTACAATATAAATTGAGAAATTTACAAGCCGTAACGAATAATCTTTTATTAATACTTTTTCTAAGAAAAATTCCAAAATAACTGATGATTAATGTTTTTCGCGTGTTTTTCGCATAGGTAGTGTTATAAATTATCAACTCAATTTGATCAGTTTGCTACACTTATACGTTACATTGAATTTGAAAAATATCATTTGAAGCCGATCCGATCTTAAAATCCGGCATCATAGTATTGACAGATAACGCAGGGCAAAGGTCGAGGGCGTCGAGAAAAGAGGTCGCGCGAAATCTCTTTTAATTAAAAACTTCACTTGCAGTCTCACGCGTGGAAGAAGCTGCAATTAGAGTAAGGATAATCAAGAAGCGTAGACGGAGTTTCCGACAACTTCTCGCGAGCGAGCGAGCAAGCACGCGCAGTACCTTCAAAAGGATATGTAAACGAATTAATTATCTAATTTATCAATTAGCGACCTCCGACACGCGCGCTTGTTTCCTCCGCTGAAATTTATCAACGTAATAGCCCATGTATTGTGCATATTTTACGCACACCGATGTAAAATCTTTGCATCTCTCTTGTATCTTTCCCATCCTCTTTCCATCCACCATCGATGAAATATCATCCTACGTAGCAAATGTTTTCCATGTTCTTTTAATAGGCTCACAAAATCATCTCAGAAATATCTGAAAAGTAACTGCGTACTTTATTCATACATCAAAACATAACTTTATGATCCTGGAAGTTGCACTACGTGCTCAATTCATACATCAAGCTTTGTACATTATATATGACAGTCTTAAAGCTTGTTTGCGCGATTAATCTGTTATACTATTAAGAGAAGCAAAGTGTAAATAGATTGAAGATAAAAACGGTCGTATGCATTTCTCGTGAGATCCGAAAAGTAAGAAATTTATACGATAAATAAAAGAGTTGCCAGACTGATTTCTGAAACTCTTAATTAATTACGCGCCATTAATCGCGTCTTAGGCTATTATTAGCCTGGTATTGTTACGAATGATTAATATGAAAAGTTAGGGAAGAAAGTGCCATTTAATTACAAATTTTCATTAAGGAAAAACCAACTTTAATTCTCGAACGTTTTCGAATAAAAGTATGAAAAATAATAAAGAAATAAAAATATAATAAATTTAGTTTGTATGTTGTATTATAGATATTGTTGCGAAGGATTAGGATTTTAAAAGTTGTATAAAAGAAAAAAACGATTTCGTTATATGATACCAGGAATATTAGCAAAGATAAATATTGTAAACGAATCATGAAAATCCTTTTCCTGCATTCAAGGATTGAATCCAAGGATTTTGAAATACTATTTCAAAAATTCTTTTTATTTCTATTAGCAATCTGTAATCACGCAACAGAAACTGAATCAAAAGATCGGTAATCCCGGTGATCCCTCTCAAAGGGATTTCTCTTTCACGAGTGACGCATTCTGCACGCCGAAATACAAAGTGCACAAGCGTATAGTCGGTGTAGCGGTCTCGTAAATATTCCCGCGAGTCTTGGTACGAATGAAAAAATATTTGACGAAAGAAAGAGAAGGAGCCCGCGGTTCGCGTTCGAATGTAAATCCTGCCCGTCGCTTTTATCATCACGAGAGAGCACGTTCGTCCACGCGAGGGATATAGCAGTTGGCTCGCGCATACACTCCTAGCATTGGCGTCAGAGATTTAAATTCCCTCGCTGCAATATCCGAGCCGTTTGATGTTCCTTCCAAAGGCCGCCAGTCTGTATGGACGAAAGCGAACTTGGAAATGGCTTACTAGTCTGACCGACCGACCGACCGACCGACCCTGCCCGACCCAACCCCTTTGCCGAACTCCCCCGTTCGGCAAACTGATGTAAAATACACGGACGACGCGAACACGTGAAAACGTGTAAACGTGGGACGTAATCTCCCACGTGTACGTGCAACATTGCGGCGAGCAAGTTTTCGGGAACAAGTCTTCGGTGCTTGTAAAATAACTGCACGAGTCCACGTAAATCCACGTCCATTAAATCTCACGTTTATGCGATTTGTTTATGATTTTACAATATTAAAATGTTAGATTACAGAATTAATTAACAGTTGGAAAATCGCGTGACTTGGTTCTTTTATTAAAAAAATTTTTTTATTTAAACAATGTACCGTTAGAGGGACTAGTTTTATCAGCTTATATAATGAGAAGATTTTAAATTTTATGTGTATATTTTATCGAAGAGATAAATTTAACATTTTCACCGTATTCTTTTGAATATTCCTCGCCTATTTATATATATATATATATATATATATATTATTTTTTTTTTTTGTAATTTTATGTTTTTGGTGGTTCATATTTTTTTAATATCGCTTACCGCGCCTTTTGTTCCATCCTGCCGACGATAGGGAATAAAGTTCGAGGCAGAATAGATAACAGTTATGAATAATGGATAATGGCTCTATCAATGAAGGTTTTACAGAGATGCATATATTAAAATATATGCAAACCTTCGTCACATACTATTAAAAATAGGAATAGGAGTTTGGCTATGAGAAAAATTGGGATAGGAATTTAAGCCATGAGTTTCTCTGCGAGATACGAGAGGGAACGTTTTATATTGTGCTTCAGAACTGGGAGGTAATGAATACAGCAGTGTTGACGGGGCGTCAGGTGTCGCAAGGGATGAAGGTTTTCATCGTGAGTCAAGCCGGTACGGTGGCCGATGTTACGCTGCAGTCGTCCTGTCATTCCGAGGACGAGAGTGTCCTCAAGGTAATTGCTTTTTAATTTACCTTCAGCTCTTACCTTCAGAGTCTTTTAGGAGTTTAATTGAAGAAATCTCGGTATTATGTACCGAGATGGTGGAATTCGTTGCCTCTTCATTTCTATCACTGTGATTCGTGCTTGATAATTTTAAGATTTTATATATGTTTTATTTGGAAAATGGATGAATGCGGTAGATGAATAATTTTATTTTTAACGCGACTAATTTACACGTCGCTGCGAGAATTGGCGAAATTGAAAGTACTTATATGAATTTATTTAATTACTTTCAAATCTGCCGAGTCCATCTTTGGAATGGCGAAATACGTTTCATATTTTATGTTAAAGTCTGTATAACTGATAAATATCTGTAATATGCCGTTTGAATGCACGACCCATTTAAATCCTATATCCGCGAGTTTGAAACTCCTAACACCCCGTATAATCGGCGGATTAAGTAACACCTTCGATGCCTCAATATCGTGCACTTGAATATCGTGCATTACGAACTACCGTATAGCCTAGGATCAAACTACATTTAATATTCGACCGTTGTCACAAATACCTAAACTCGCAGGTATCATCCTCGTGCAGTAGCGTGTACGTGGACGGTTCGGAGATCCGGGGTTCTAGCAATGCGTCGGTCCTCGTCAAGTACGGGACATATACTGGGCTAGCGAGGTTCACCGTATGGATGCCCGAACTTCCTCTGGAGGTAAGCGTTGCTGACACGCGGCTAAACCAGATAAAAGGTTGGAAAGTGCCAGAGGAGCACGCGGCCAGTACGAAGAGCAAGCGGAGCCTATTGAACGCGACGCGGATCGAAAAGTTCCCGATTTCCTCGACGTCGACGACACCGCTGGAGAGGCCGCCGATGACCGCGCGAGCGAGGAAGAGGAGCGCTGTCGATCTGGAGGAGTCGATAGAGGATACGTCCTTAGACATGGACGATCCGGACGGACTCCTCGAGGAGGACGAACACGACGAACGGTTCCGAGCCAATGGAAATGATCATGGATGGGATACGATTAACTCCATCGATCGAAATCTGTCTCCGGCCAATTGCAGGCTGCGTTTCCAGCAGAGTCCGGTCGAGGTGCACGCCCGATTCCTGGCGACCGATCATGACTCGGGTAGAGTCTCGTACTTTGTCAATCGACGTACCTGGTTGCGCGTCACCGATCTCGTAGCCGGCATGCTGCGTGTCTCCGATCCTAGAATAGCGACGCTTCTTCAGGGCAGACTTGTTCAGGGACGCGGAGTGGGTCGCACGGAAGTGCAAGTATTGTCGCCGATCACCGGTAGAGTTATCGGCGCGAAGGAAATCAGGGTCGGTAATGACCGCGTGTCTGTGACACGTCTGTCTGTTCGGGTGGTATCCGGACTTCAACTCAGTATCAGTCCTGATACCGCGATCGAAAATGGATACGTCGCCGAAACTTCGGTTACAAGAAGACTGACTGCTCAATATCAGGTAAATTGTTGATGATTACAATATTTTTGTTAAAGCTTCAAATGTATACTACATTAAGAAAAAGGGAGCATTGCTATTTCGACAATAATTTGAGGAGTTTCTCTAAATATCTTTAAAATATCTAAAACAATCAATAAAACGATAAATTAATTATTTAGAAATATATAATGTATTCTATTATTCCGTATAATGTCAATTTTTTTTGTGAATATAAAGAGAAGATTTTACCATATTGCGTTAATTGCCATAATCCATTAAAATTTTCATTCTGAAAACATTTACTTTATATTTTTCTCGAGGATATATACATGTATATTTCATGCATGATCAAGATGAAACTATGGCTATATGAGCAAGTAAATTTGACGTTGTTATTGTACCAACAGGAAGGATTGCTAGACATTGACGTAGAATTCTCGGACAGTACCCGTACACCCCTCAGGGAAATCGCCGTGAGCGATTACCATTTGCTAGTGGAGAGCCTGGATCCGGAAGTTGTGGCGTTCGCACCAATGGTCGCTTCTCATCATCCGCGGGTAATCGCGGTCGGTGAGGGCCGTGGTGACTTACTGCGTGTCAGTTTACAGCTTGCCGATTCCTGCCGATTATCCGGCAGACGTTCGAGCAAGGGTTCTCAGAGAGCGACAGTCACCGCATTGGCAAGCGCGTCGGCCAACATCGAGGTGGATTTCGCCTCGAGTGAGGTTCCTAATCGGCCGGAATTCGTACAGAATGACGGTGGTGGCACTGTCGGTTCTCACCATCACAGAGAACGTAAAATCGGCCGAGGCGAAATAGCGTCCGATCTACACGACATCCTCATCGGTAATTAGAGCCTGTTCCCCTTTGCCGCTTCGTTTCTTTGTGTCTCGCTTCTTTCGCATTCTCTTCATTCTTTTTCTGCTCTTTTCTTCGCTTTGTAACTATCACGTAGCGCAACTGCACGTATGCACCTTGTTTCGCATTTCTTAGCGGAAACTTTCTTCGCGGGACCATTTGGCTCGTAAAAAGTTCCGTCTGCCTATTTATGCGTGATCTCTCTCCGCGGTTCCTGTCCATTCCTCCGTAACGGATAGTCTTCCTCCTTTATGCTGAATGTCAAATGCGTCTGACTCTAAGAATAATTTGTGACGCAATGCAAGCGTATGTGACGCATTGCAAGTTGGAATACTTTGTCACTTTTCTCATCCAACTTGAAATATCAATTATCATCGAATATTCTTACAATTTACGAACAGTGATAAATTTTTAAATATTTTTGAATATTCTAAATTTCTTAATCCTGGCGATATCAAAATGATTTTGAATCCGAAAGTTTTCGAATCTACGATTGAAAAAACTTTGAAACATTTAAATAGTGTCAGGCTGTATTCATCATAGTCGCTGATTATCGCGTCGAAAGTAAGGGCACAGACATTCAACATTCTACTCGCGCATCCTCCGCATGTCTAATAGCATGTCTAGCCGCTGTCTAGTCGGGGCATCGGGGAAGGAAAGATTCTCAGCGGCTCTCTAACTCAGCACAAA